AAAAAAAAACAATATTTTGGACTTTTTGCTATAAAACATGTCCAGTAAAAAAAAATTTAAAAATCAAATTTAGTCATAAAGTTCTGCCAAAATGCATTCTGTGACATGTCTTTGCTAAAAAAAACCCAATACGTGTAAATTAATTGGTTTACGTGAAAGGTATAGCATTTACAAATGGCGGGAAAGATACTGGGATTTTTTTTTTTATACTAATAATACTAATAATGGCGGCGATCAGCGACTTATGGCAGCAATCAGCGACTCATGGCGGGACTGCGTCGGACATTCTGACATTGGGGGGTACTGACTTGGGGTCACTGACATCCCCAGTGACACCAATACAGTGATCAGCGCAAAAAAAAAACCCCAATGACACTGTACTAATGGCACTGGGGAGGAAGGGGTTAAGTTTATTTTTCAGGGAAAGGGTTAACTGTGTGAGGGGAGTGTTTTACTAGGGGGCAGGGGTGTGTACTGCAGGGAACACCGCTGATCGGGAGAGAAAAACTCTTCTGTCCCGATCAGCTTGTCCTGGAGCTGTCAGGGAACTGACAGAAAGCACAGCTACTGCAGCTGTGCTCTCTGTCAGCGATTGCTGCCGATCGCTGGGACATAGCCGGTAACGACGACCGGCTGTGATCGGCGGGACAGGTAGGGCGTCGGCGCGCCTCGCGCGCTACCTACCTGTTTACAAAACACACATTTAAAATGTGCTTTTGCCCAGCCGTGCCGCCCTGCCACCGTATTTATACAGTGGCTGGGTGGCATGTGGTTAATTTAAGTATTAGTAAATACGGTGAGTCTGGGTTCACTCTGATTGCTCATTCATATGCAAGAAAAAAAAATGCTAGCACATGATTGGATGAATGAAGTGAACACAGCTTCACCTTATTTACTAACATTTTAAATTGTCCCTAGTATGTGCTCAGGTAAAGTATGGATCTTAGATTGTAAGCTGCTTAGAGGCAGGACTGATGTGAATATACAGTATATGTAAAGCATTGCATAAATTGACAGTGCTATATAAATACCTGTGATAATAAAATAAATAAACCTTCAGTTTGCAAAGTGAGCATTTATGAAACTGTCTTTCAGTTAAAATGAATGAAAACAGGATTGAAAAGAAAGGTCGTTCCATATGTTGCCAGCTTTAGATCAGGACAAGATGAAAGTGAAAGCATTGCTAAGTTCCCCCCCACCCCAAGTTGTCTCTGACTTGCATTGTTCAATATAAAATTCTTCTTTGGTATTGGGTTCTTCTTGACAGCTCAAAGGAAGCTAACTGTAACTAACTCCATGTAAGCTGTACAATGTGCAGATGAAAGGAGTTTTCTCTATGTGCGGGGTAAGGAGGGGGTCAGCTGGTGTGATGATCATAGTTCAGCAAGTCTGAACCAGGAAAACAGGTTTTGCTCCTATGATTCTCTCTTTATTCTATTAGTCCATACAATTAAATGGAAGGAAAGCCTATATCATTTTGTAACATATCAGATGTAATGTAAATTATAAATTTAAAGATCTGTTATGTTTAGTTATTTTATTTGGACCACATTTAAACGATATCCTAGTTAGAATAAGAAGAGTGATACAATATGAGCAAACCTGGATTGTAATTTTCTCATTGTCAGTGCCCACAGTACTCTCTCTTCTCTTTGATTAGACTATACAATTCCCTTTTCTTAAAGAGTATGTAAACCCAGCATTTTGTATTCCTATTATGTGCCTGTTGTACCGTGCACTTGTAAAAAAATGTTTACTGCTCTCTTTGTATTCCTTCCTTTGTGTGAAATCCCTGGTGTTGCTGCCAGTCCCTCTGCATTCCTATTAAAAAGTGATCACACTAGGCATGAGAGCACAGCATGTTCAGTTTTCTGGCTGTGCTGGAACTCAACCTGCTCTCCGCCAATGATCAGACGTCTGCTGATGCTATTCACTGGGAAGACCAGTTTTTCCTCCCCCCCAGCTCTCTGATCTCCTTATGCAGCTGAGAACAGAGAGTATGTGATCACTTATATAAAATGTGAAAAAAGTTATTTATAATTTTTTTTTTTTATATGTATACACACATGGTTTTCCTTTCATTTTTATTTTGAACTGAATGGGTTGTTTTAAAAAGTGAGGGTTTACATACAATACATTTTAATGCAAGTTTGTAAGTCTACTCTTCGATTGTAAGCTCCAAAGATCAGGCCCTCCTAACCCTCTTATATTGAAGTGTATTGTTGCTGTATTGTCTCCCTTTATATTGTAAAGTGCTGCGCAAACTGTTTTTAAGTGCAGTTTATGTTATGTTTAGTTATGGTGTGATAAAAAAAAAAGGTCCTGCATGCCGCATCTTTGATGTGCTTTCATCAAAACATATGTGGACTATAGAGTTAAATGTATAACGCCCCTAAAATGCATGTAAAACACAATTAAAATGCTATGCACCAAAAACACACCGCAAAGATGTGAACCGGCCCTTAGACACCAATCACCTATCCTAGATATTCTTTGGTAAGGTAGCTTAGCTGCACTTGTCTGACATACAAATGTGCACCGGAGACTGACGTAATACAGTATATTTCCCTAGAAGTCACATCTAAGGTTACTATCAGATAAAGGTAAATAGTAGTAAGTCAGAATGTGTCCTTACTGAAAATGCACTATATAGTTTCCTTTAAAAATTTACATTGTAAAGCAAACCTGGACCTAATTGAAATGTTATAGTGTGTGCCTCTAATTTGTTGTAATTCTACATCAGTTTCAGAGACCCCATGAGCAATACCCACCTTTGAAGTTTGGTACAGTACCCAATGGGAGCACAGAGAAGAACATTCGGAGTAACTACCCAGACATGCACGCCTACATGATTAAGTATAACCAGAGACATGTAGAAGATGCGCTACAGAATCTGAAGACAGGGTATGTGTTAAAATGTGTTGAAACCTTCTTAATCTCCTGGCAATTAGTATGCTGCTTAGCTGTTGCTTGCTTTACAGACTGAAATAAGTATGCATTGACATCTGCTTAAAGTGGTTCTGAAGGCTAAAGGTTTTTTTACCTTCATGCATTCTATGCATGAAGGTAAAAAACTCATTGTGCTGATCACGATCCAACGGTATGCACAAAAGCCTTGGCTCTCCGAATTATCTCTCTCCTCATTGGTTGAGACACAACGGTGGGAGCCATTGGCTCCTGCAGGTGTCAATCATAGCCAGTGAGGAGGTATTAGAGATGGGGCTGAGCCATGCTCTGTATGTCTTATGGACATACAGGACTTTCTTGGGAGCAAGCCCGCACGAGTGCCCCCAGAGCAAGCAGCTTGCTCTGGGGACACTCCACAGGGGGGAGGGGTCAGGAGCACCATCGGGGGACTTGAGAAGAGGAGGATTGGGCCTGCTCTGCTCAAAACCATTGCACAGAGGAGGTATTTATGACATGTTTGATATTTTAATAAAAATAAATAAGGTTTACATCCTATTTAAAGGATAAGTTCACCTTTTGGACAAAATTAATAAATGCACATTTTTTTGCACATTTTTGTGCATTTATTATTTTTGTCCAGAGGAGCCTGGAAAGCATTGGACCAGCAATCAGTAGATTGCTGATGCCATGCAGGTCTTGCCAGAATATCTGCTTGCCACAGGGCTATACGCGCAAGCTCCAAAGTGCAGTGGTAGTTCATTGAAAACTACAAGCCCACATCCGCTAAGGCTGTCGGGACTTGCAGTTCATTCATTCACGGAAATCTGTGAATGAATGATGTGGCCGTGTGGGTGGAGCCCTGCTCAGTTGCGCTGTTTTCAAATTTGACAGATAGTCTGGGGAAACTTCTCCCCGTATTATCTGTCAGAGGGAGAGGGGGTGGCGGGCACAACTACAGCTATGGGAACATGTTACATGTTCTACCCTAAAAATGGATGGAACATGTAACATGTTCCCAAAGGTAAACTTATGCTTTAAATCTGGTATTCCTTTAACTGGAAGGCAGGCAACCGTCTAACCAAAATAAATTTGTCTCTAAAATGGGCACTGAATCATTAGAAGAAGATAAATGTAATCTCTGATTTAAATTATAGGTTTTTAGAAGAGTGAACAATCTACATTGGCCATTGTCTGGTGCTGCAAAACTGTATTCTTTCTCTCCCATACAAGTCAAACACCACATGGAATACTATGTCTAAAGACAAAACTTTTCTTTTCAATTTTTGGATTGAACATGGACGTGGTAAAACATTGTCATCCTCTGTATTTGTCAGCATAGAAAGTGATGGGAAATCAAATGCATTATGGTTGTTGCTGGAATAGAGAGATAAAGCAATATTCTATGGGAACATGTGTTCCAATTACAACTGTCAAAAAGGGATTTCCCCTCATTTTCTCACTTTGGGGTTGAGTTAGTTAAGGCAAATGACTGTTTACTTTGCAAAGGAATTTTCCCCAGTGTTTACTGAATGAGGTGAAGCTGTATTGAATTCCATCATCCATGAGCAAAAATGTTGTTCTTTTTAATTTTCCTTGCACCTTATTAGGTATTTCACCACATTTCCACATAACTTAACCGCCATGTCTCCAATCAAAACTGTTTTAACTAGTACGTTCCAGTACATTCCATACATAAAATGTTTGGCTTTAGATTTACCTAAAATCGCTGTCACTAGGTGGAAAAAATTACCCAAGTAGTCCCCTGGAGGCAGAGGAGAAATACCTCCTTGGTGGGTAGTGTGTTTAAACATTAGCCACTTGTTACTTGTTTTAAAAAATGCAGCTTTTAATAAATGAGACAACACAAGGCAGCACTGGAAAGGTCATACCATGACTGATGTTGTGGCTGCCATGACTCATTACTACCATAACCCATGTACCATCCAGCTTCTTTAACCACCTTCCGCCCGCCATATAGTACCAGGATGGGCGCAAGGTGGTTCTCTCGCTCTGATAGGACGTCATATGACGTCCTTCCATTCTCACCGCGCATGCGCGGCTGAGGGAGCGCACGCAGTGCGGTGATCGCCGGTACGCTGAGTCCCTCGGACACAGCGGATCGCGGAAAGAGCCGAAGATGTCGGCTCGGTCATGTGATCAGCTGTGTCCAATCACAGCTGATCACATGTAAACACGGAAATGCCGGTTATCGGGATTTCTCTCCTCTTGAGCTGTCACGCTGACAGCTCGAGAGGAGAGGAGAGCCGGTAATCGGCTTTCCGTGGAGGGGTCATGTACACTGATCATCAGGGCACTGATGATCAGTGTGCCCTGATGATCAGTGTGGCCCCAGAAGTGCCACCTGTCAGTGCTCATCAGTGCCACGTGCCAGTGCCCATCAGTGCCACATATCAGTGCCTACCAGTGCACATCAATGCCACATATCAATGCCCATCTGAGCTGCCTTTCAATGTCACCCATCAGTGCCAATCAGTGCCACCTATCAGTGCTGCCAATCAGTGTCGCCTACCAGTGCCAGTCAGTGTGCATCAGTGCCGCCTATCAGTGCACATCAGTGCCGCCTATCAGTGCCAGTCAGTGCGCCTATCAGTGCCAGTCAGTGCCGTCTATCAGTGCCATATATCAGTGCCATATATCAGTGTCATGTATCAGTGCTGCCTTTCAGTGCCCATCAGTGATACCTGTCAATACCCATCAGTGCCACCTACCAGTGCCTGCCCATCAGTGCCACCTATCAGTGTCCATCAGTGCAGCCTATCAGTTCCCATCACTGCAGCCTCATTAGCGCACATCAGTGAAGGAGAAAAATCACTTATTTACAAAATTGTATAACAAAAACTAAGAAAAACATTTTTTTTCAAATTTTTCAGTGGTTTTTGGTTTGTTTAATAAAAAATAAAAATCCCAGAGGTGATTAAATACCACCAAAAAAAAAGCTCTATCTGTCACAAAAAATTATAAAAATGTCATATAGGTACAGTGTTGCATGACCGCGCAATTGTCATTCAAAATGTGACAGCGCTGAAAGCTGGAAATTGGCCTGGGCAGGAAGGGGGTATAAGTGCCCTGTAGGCTAGTGGTTAAAGAATGATGCAACCACATATCTTGTATTTACATGGCCATAGCAGCCCTTTTATTACCAACCAAGTAAATAACAGAATCACTTTCAATACCAGTTTCTTAAACAAAAAAACTTTACGAAAAAAAAAACTTTACAACCATAAAGTACCTAACTGACCATCTCCTTTTTAATTAATTAAGATTAATGAAGGCCTATCGCATCGGCCGTATCACCCACCACGTTCCTATTCCAGCCCTTAGCGGCAGTTACTTTGGCTCAGGGACAAATTGTTAACCATTTTAACACCCAATGCAATCTGATGACCGATAGCCCCAACTGATGTCACTTCATAGAGAAGGTACACCCATACCGAGATGGGCCCTGCCTATTACACTCCACATACTGTTTTGACCATGCTGGCCTACAAGAACCTGAGACCCCTGCCTACTACTGTGACAAAAGAAAGACTACACCCTAACCACCCACTGATAACCAACCCATAGCCAAAATCACCCTCTGTAGTTCCCGGGGAAATACAACACCAGAAAAGGACCCTTAACGACCACAGAAAATAAAAAAAAAGAATGGGAGGGAGGGCGAGCAAGTGTCTTCTCCACTGACCAGGCTCCCACTGACCCTCTAGTAACTCTTCCCTTCTACCAGACTACTGATGCCACTCCCAGTCACACCCTGCCCACCTTTTTTTTCCACCAATAAGGTAAGTTTTTCATCTACTTTAAAATTAACCAATTAAACTGCCTAAATGTAGCCTTCCCAGCCAACTCAGTCATGCAGGCCCCACACTTATGCTCCGCATACAGTTCCTGACCTTTTCTTTCTGTGCAGTGATGGTCTCTGCCCATTACACAAATTTAGGAATATAATGATATGCTAAAAGAGAGGTTTGTAAATTCAATGACCTCTGAGCCTTTTTTGTCAGGTCTGGCACTGTGTCTGCACAGCAGCTGGGATAAGCAGTCCTTCTGGATAAGTCACAATACAAATACTTTTGCAACTGTGCATGCATATACTAATATGTGTTTGCATAAAAAAGTGCTGCCTTCTGTATGAAGTTCCAAAGGTATATTGATGGGAAATATGTCAGCTGAAGACCCAGTGAAAAAAGATAAACTTTTTAGTAGTGTGAACAGAGGTTAGACCGTCTGTCACTTTTATTGCTTTCTTGTCACATTGATCCCATTGGGGACATCAGTAAAAAAAACTATCTTTAGTTCTATTCCTTTCCCAGTCTAAAAAAAATTAAGCTGGAGTTGAGCTTTTACATATGGATGCTGAGGGAATAAATAGTATACAAGATATGAGAGAGAGAGACTGTTCAGTGTATGGGATCTTCAGAGAAAATAATCACTGAGGTATGGAATGGAAGTGAGATGTTTTCCTCAGTCACCTCCATACTATTTCTGTTGTATTCTATAATCTAGAGTCAAATTAAATATTTTTTAATCCTGACCGCATGCGATATAGAATTTTCACATGTCTGACGATTCATTCTACAGAGCTACGATTTAGCTTTACTTTGAAAACATTCCGAGATTAATAATCTCCTTGTGTTTATACAGGCCAAAAATTGATTGTCATTTGGTATGAGTCTGCTGATAGTTTGTTTTCTTGGTTTTTGTAAAGCTTTGCAAGATGAATTTAGTGATCATTTATTTGGGGACATATTTTTAAATGTTCACTGCTCTCCACCCATTTATAGATAAAGGGAGAGGCAGCTGATTGCAATTCAACCTTACTTGCCCTGTTTTATATTATTGAACTTCACTAGTCCTATCTACTCATTGGATTTATGTTGAATTATTAAAGTTATTATTTTATACAGGCATCCATGATCACTGTAAAATATATTTCATGTATTTATGGAATGACCGTTTAATTTTGCAAATGTGGCCAGTGTTAACAAAGCAGAGAAAAAATACTAGAATACTAAAATGGTTTATGATTTATAGATACATAATTCAAACATATTGTATAACAGGCTCAAGACAATGGAAACTAAAACAGCAATAGAGGAAAAATAATTCCAGTAAAAAGTGACCAAGTACAGTAAGTGATAGTCCTAACTCTTACCAAAGCTAAACTTCAGGCATATATAAAAATACTATTTAATCTAGTTCTGCATTATTAATATAGAGATTATCAAATGTAATATAAATGCTAATAATATAAGTACCTGTATTTTTCTTAATATCAGTCTTTTTTAATATGCTGTATGGCGGAATCCAGACTTGATGAGGGAGGGTCAGTATTAGCGGTCAGTCTGACTCTGCTGTCTGCACATGCACTGAAAATAATATTTTATCCAGTGTACTAAACATTTCCTGATGAGGTGGCCACTAAAGAGCTCCAAAATGCATTGACTGTGTTTTAACCTATTTTTTTTTTCAATAAATACGAACCTTTTAGTGTCCACTTGGAAGTACTTTTTTTGAATGGGTGCCTCTTCAGAAATCATACTGGTTCCATTTTGGGGCCTTATCCTTTTCCCCAAAGTACTGAAAAAGAGCTGCTGGGAGAAAGGAGCGATTACATCATTTCCGTGTTGCTGCTGCTCTTTAATTGCCCAGTCATATGATGGGAACAGGGAAATATCCAAGCTGTATTGTTTACCTACAGTAGATACTAGTGAGGTCACCAACTTGGCTTTGATGTCCGCTAGGGTTGTGCAGATCTTTGGACTGGCTGAAGAAAGAACCTTATGCTGTGTAAACAGATCCCATATACAGTAGGTATATTTTTTCTACTCTGGGTTTAGCTGATTTCCCTGTAGCACAGCTTTAAGCTTTGTACAGATGGACTTTAAGGAGGTATACAATATACTCTAATTGAATGATATTTAGTTTGCTAAAGCATTGTGCGTAATAAAGAATTGTAATTTGTACTTTTTCATGCTTCGCCTACATGCATTCCAATGATGGCTGCATGACTTTTTACAGAGCAGGTTTCTTTAAGGTGACAACCTTGGACCATTCCTTTATAATGTGTGTTGAAATGGACACTTGAAGTCTCAATTGGAAGCCTGTGTGACAGGGTGACAACACAAGAGAACAAGGGGGAAGGGACCAGACATTGTTACCATGCAACAGGAAATGCTTGAACAAGGGCTTTCATGGCAGGATTGCTAGATAATTAAGTAAAGCTGCAGACTTAAAAATAAAAAATAAACTTTTGAAATTATGTGATCATGCTAAATCCCATATGGATTTTCGGTGATTAGATTTACATATACTTAAAATGAACATTTGCGTCATCTCTAGATGGCGGCGCTTCATGGAATACTTCTTTACTCCTGCGGAACTAGCCACTCATATGGAATCTTTTCGATATTCGGTTTAGTATCTCAAAGCTCAACTTATCAATATGTTGGGTAAACTATGATTGTCCAACTCCTCTTGTGGCCCCACCCCACAGATCTCTATTCCCCAATCACGCAATGGAGCCCATGCTCCTTTTTATGATTCTTAGCTGATACAACATTCTTTCTTAATTGTCTTTTTGACAGAGATGTTATTGTTCAGGCCTTCATAACCAAAGTTCTGTTCCTAGGGAATTGCTTACATTTTTGGAATTCAGCTTATGCTGTACTGATTTGTTGTGTCATTGATGGCTATTTGGATACTGCCCTTTGTTTCCATTACAGAAGTTGTACTGACTTCTGTACTCACCACTCTGTTTCAAAAAACAAAATGAACGTGCTTTGTCCATGCAGTACTTTGGTTATGAGTTGACCTAGAGTTTCTTGTGAATTTTGGCTTGAAGTAATGATATGGAAGCTATCATCTAATGATGGATATTTTAGTAAGAAATAGCTGTAGCCAATCACATGTCTGTTTCCTGAGAAAAAAAAATTAATTAAGATATTTATTTATGTATTTATCATGTATATATATATATGTTTCTTAAAGGAAATTGGATGCATTTATTTACGATGCGGCAGTGCTGAACTACATGGCTCGGAAAGATGAAGGATGTAAGCTGGTGACCATTGGCAGTGGAAAAGTCTTTGCCACTACAGGTTATGGCATTGCTCTGCAGAAAGGTTCCAAGTGGAAACGCCCTATTGATCTTGCATTGCTGCAATTTCTAGGAGATGGTAAGTACTTTTCATTTTCCAGATAATGCGGAATAGGCCCATCACCATCCTGCATTCCTGAAGGCAAAGCTTCATACTTGATTATACTGCCAAGAGGTTGGAGCATTGCTTTCATGTATTCCTATTCCTAAGCCATTAGATACTTGTATTGTTGTTTGCAGAATGGATTTGTTGGGCTCCTGAAGACACTTATGAGGAGGTGTCAATATCTACTGACATATCATGATAAGCATGGTTATTTCAGAAGTTTGTCTTTGTTATTTTTTTCAACACTAGTGTACCTACAAGTTGACTTAAGTTGCCTAAATCAACCTTCAGCCTTTAGAACCCCTTTAAAGAAGAAGTATCACTTTTTTATTTATAAAATTCAGTTCCTGTGGGATGAAGTGCATA